CCCCCCTCCTCCTCCGCTCAATCATCATCAACCATCTCCCTCCTTCCTCTAGCCATAGCCTTCCGTTGTCCCGCTCGCCATAGCCTCCCTCCTCCCTCCTCCTCCGCCATAGCCCCCATTCTCCCTTCACCACCATAGCCTTCCCTCGTCGCTGTCAGCCTGACTTTGCGATTTTGTTCATTTTTTTCACATCTTCTTCGTCTTTTTCTTCTTCCTCCTCCTCCCACCTCTCAGTGTCCTTAGACTCCCTCCCTCACCACCATAGCCTCCCTCTTCAGCCAGCCTGACTTTGCGATTTTTTTCATTTTTTTCACATCTTCGGCCAGTCTGACTTTGCGATTTTTTTCATTTTGTTCACCATGGCCTCCTTCCGCCTCTCACATCTTCAGCCAGCCTGATTTCTTTTTTTTCACTTCTTCTTCTTCTTCTTCTTCTTCTTCTTCTTCTTCTTCTTCTTCTTCTTCTGCTGCTGCTGCTGCTGCTGCTGCTGCTGTTTCTTCAAATTCTTCTTTCCTCGTTGTTCGTGAACCTTCTGCAAGATGGCATCTTCAGGCGGGGCAGGCACTTCGACGGGGAAGGAGGCGATGGGTTCGGACCATAGAGGCACACGCGTAAAGGAACCGTTTCAGCCGCAGCCTGAGGCAAGACAGTTGAAACTGCAGGCGGCGAAGTGGGTGACGCATGGGCAGATGGTCCCGCCATTGTCGAAGGGGCAGTACAGAGTTAAGTGCAATCTGTGCGGCGCAGATTGGGTCGCGTCGTACACGCGTGTGTGGCCGCACTTCACACGGAAAACTAATCCATGCCCCGCGCGTTATCCGGAGATGCTTCACATCCTAGCTGCAAAGGGGCATGCGATTGACTGCAAGAAGACATTGCGGCTCATCCAATTGTATCGGATAGAGCACAACATCCCCCAGGACGGTTTGGTTTCTGCAATTCCGGAGGTGGAGGCACAAGGGGACACAGTGGATGCGTTCATAGTGCCACCGACAGCACGACAGAGCAGAACGGTGCCGACTGTGGAAGTTGATGAAGACGCAAGAGAGGGGGTTGTGGAAGAAGGTGGTGGAATGCCGGGGACGTCTGCGCAGGGATCCGCTGCGGGCCCWAAATCCGGGAAGTTGCGCAATCATCGATCAAAAGGTGGGCAACCAACGATTCGCAGCAGATTGGATGTGGCATGGGGGATGCACCTTTTTCGACACGGCGCCCCATTCAACTACGTCAGGACGAAAGAGACACAGGAGCTGCACGACTTGTACCTCGAGTTGGGGGAGAAAAGGCAACGGGTGAAGATGCCTTCCTTGGAGGTCATCCGAACTGTTGTGTTGGACATCATATACAACAAGGTGCAGTAAGACATGCAGCCACTGAAAGCGAAGTGGGATGACACAGGTTGCACTCTCCTCACTGATGGGTGCACAGATCGAAGGTACAGACCTGTGATGAACTTCATTGGGGCCGGCGAGAGCGGTGCGATCCTATTGAAGGTCGTGGATATGTCCAAGAAGAAGAAGACTGCAGTCACTCTGGCGATAATGTGGGAGCAGATGATCAGGGACATTGGGGTGCATTGGGTTAATGCAATCTGCACGGAAAATGCAGAAGTAAACAAGCAAGCTGCACGGATCCTGCGAAGGCGTTCGAATCGTGATATATCAAGCATTTCATGGGTCCCTTGCGCAGCTCACCACTTGAACTTGTTGATGAAGGATGTCTGCGAGCTCGACTGGGTGAAGCAAGTGGTGCAGCGCACGAAGATGATGGTCAAGTTCATAAGGAAACACCATAACACAAACAACCTTTACACGAGGTGCTCAAAACTTTCGAGGGAATTGACATTGATTTTGCCCACGGAGGTCCGCTTCGCTTCCGCATACATGATGATGAACCGGTTTTGGGGAAGAAGGTGTGTGCTTGAGGAGATGATGGAGGAGGGGTGGAGGCAGTTGAGATGGAGCACAAGGAAAGATCGAGATAAGTCTGACCTGACGTACCAGACTGTTACCGCGTCCGAATGGTTGGGAGAAGTTGCGCATGATTTTGGATGTGTTGGAGCCGATATACGAGCTACTAAGGAAGATGGACCGCAACGGCACAGCCTTCCCAAGCCTTTGGCACTTTGACGAAGGGTTGGGCAAGCGTCTGAAGACACTTGCGCGGTTGACCGATGAGCAGCGGCGGGGGATCATGAAGGAAGTAAAGCAGCGGACGAGGATGATTAGGCAGCCCGTTCATGCAGCGGACTTTCTTCTTGACCCAAGGAGGAGAGACAACAAGTGGTTGATGGACATGCATTCCCCGCTAGTCCAAATCGCCCTCAAGTTCTTCCTATCACAGTGCAAAGAGGATGTCGCTTGGGGGCGCGACAAGCAGTTAGGTCTATGGGCGGACTTGCAAGCTTTCCACAAGGCGTCAACTGAAAATATGTTGGTGAAGGATCCTGTGACAGGGAAAGTGGTGGAGGAGAGCTTGTGGACTGAGTTTGCGATCTTCGACAACTCCCTTGCTCAAATGACAGCCTTCGAATGGTGGAACCGCCATGGGGCCTCTCACAAGAAGTTGCGAGACATTGCCATGAGAGTGACAGCGATGTGAAGCACTGCGACCCCTTGTGAGAGGAAGTGGTCCTCTCTCGATCTTGTCCACGACAAGAGGAGGGGTCCGCTGTCGCCTGACAGCCTCGACAAGTTAGTGTACATCCACTGGTCCAGGAATCTTCAGCTGCTGGACATCAAGAAGAAGAAGAATACATCTTGGGAGGGTACTTGGACATGTGGGCTACATTCTTCGATGAAGTGGAGGCACCAACGCCGAATGATCCTGCAATGTTGCCAAGGGCTGCAACCACAGCAGACTTGAGTGACGAAGAAGTGGCCCGCCGGGCAAATCTAAAGAAGATCCCCCGAGCTAAAGTCATGAAGCCTCATGTCCTTGATGGATCAACCTCAACGGACAACAGTGATGATGGGGAGGACCTACTTTGGAGAGGCAAAGGCAAGAACAAAAAGGTTGTTGTCGATGACGGCGAAGGCAAGGCGCAGATCGATGGCAAAGGCAAGGTGCAGATTGATGTGGACGATGAGGAAGAGGATATTGAGGAGAGCGAGGAAGTTCACGAGAACTTTACTTTGCGGTCGCCAAGAGTGAGCGACATATCTAGCGACGACAACGAGCTGGATGACGACCTCACACGTAACATGGAGCGGGGTTACATTGATAGTGACCTGGAGTTCTTGCGGCCTCGGGGGATGGACTTCAACGCATGCGTCGAGCTGGACAAGGACCTCGATGACGACGCTGAGAGGGCGAGGGCGCAGTCCCTTGCTCATCGTGATCGCGCCCTTATGGAGCAATGGATACAAGAAGACGCAGCAAAACGAAGTGTTGTCCCCCCTCCAATGAGGATGAACTATACCACAGCGGGAATAGGCAGATGTCTACCGGCGGAGGGGGTTCAGCAGCAGCGGCATGCAGAAGGCATGCAACGGGAACAACAAGAGGAAGACGTTCAGCAGCACCAGCAGCGAGAGGAAGGCCTGTAGGAGCAAAGACAAGAGGAGGGCCTGCAACAACAAGATGATCGGCAGCAACAGCCAGAGGAAGGACTGCAGCAGCAGCAGGTGCAACAACAGGATGATCGGCAGCAACAGCAGCAACAAGAACAACACGATGGAGTAGAGCAGCAACAGCAACAAGGAGATGGACCGCATCCGCAACAACAGCAGCATAAGGATGGAGCGCAGCAGTAGCAACACACAAAACGAGATGGACCGCAGCAGCATGAGCAGCACAAGGATGGAGCGCAGGAGCAGCAGCAGCAGACAAAGCAGGATGCACCGCAGCAGCATCAGCAGCACAAGGATGGAGCGCAGCAGCAGCAGCAGACAAAGGAGGATGGAACGCAGCAGCATCAGCAGCAAGAGCACGATGGTCCACATAAGCAACTAGAGCACGATCCGCTGCAGCAGCAGCAAAAAGAAAACGTGAGTGCAACGGGAGTCGCTCGAGTGTACTCCAGGCGGCCTCCAGTGCCCAGTGCAGCAGCAGTCCGGGGTGTGGTTCTAACCCTTCCTTTCCCTGCGCAGGTCAAGGACGTGCAGCACGACAACTTGGACGTGAGCCTGGCGGGAAGGAAGAAGAAGGTGCAGCCTGACACATGTCCAAAAGTGGCAAGGAAAAAGGGGGCGCCCGCGAAAGTACCCACTTCAGCCAGCTCCATCAGCTTGCGCTCCGGTCGGCGAGGATGGTGGTGAAGGGGGTGAGGTGGAACAGCATGTGATTGGAGGAAGGAAGGTGCAAGGGGGCCCTGCACTCACTGTGGACGGTTTGGAGACACCCGTCGAAGCGGCCGAAGAGGAAGGCGGCGAGGAAGGCGAGGGTCGTTGAGGACGATCCGACGGATGCGGAGGAAAGGAGCGATGGGATTGAAGAGGATGATCGGGAAAGCGATTGGGAATAGGGCTCGGCGGGGGAGGAAGCTGGAAGGCCATACACTTGTACTGGTCTGAGGGCTGATGATGTTGAACGGTCATAGTCAAAGTGGTGTTTTTTTTGCACAATTAATCCCTTGGGTTTTCCAAGGCAATCAATGCTGTGCCTTTTCCTTATTGTACTTCTTCTTCTTCTTCTTCTTCTTCTTCTTCTTCTTCTTCTGTTATGACTGTCAGTCTGTTACCATGTTATGTCAATGGAGGCTCACTGTCGATCACAATTCATAGGACCTCTAAGTTCGAGCAACAGTTTCTGTGAAACTGTCGGCTGCACTTTGCCACTTACGTTGTTTACAGCCTGCCATTCTTTACAACATGACTTCGAGTTTGCTTGCATGGCTGCTTGGAATCATGGGGAGCAGCGGACTCAGTCTAAGTGTGGACTGGAACCGGGTCTGAATGTTGAGTCCACACTTTGACTCAGTCCGCTGTTGGAGACCAGCGGGACAGAGTTGCTCAAAGTTTACTGCTTSAAATCACGGGGAGCAGCAGACTGAGTCTGAGTGTGGACTCAAAATTGAGTTTCAGTCCACACTCAGACTCGGTTTGAGTCTGAGTGTGGACTGGAAYTCAAGTTTGAGTCCACACTCAGACTCAGTCTGCTGCTCCCCGTGATTTCAAGCAGCGAACTTTGAGCAACTCTGTCCCRCCGGTCTCCAGCAGCGGACTCGGTATGAGACATTATTTTGCGACAGTGTTCGGAAATCAGGGGATTTTTGTTTGGTGGCATTTGCTGCTTGTGAGTGCTTCAACCTGCTTTACTTTTGCGAGTCCACGGGGGATGCAGTAGTTGCTGTGTGCATGCCACCAGCTGCATTTGCTCAAGTACAGGCTGGACAAAGCAGCTGCTGCATCCCTGGTCCTGCAAAATGGGCAACCCAGGATCCACCCCACTTCTGCACCTCCTCCCCTCACCATCCTCACTGCCCCCGAAACAGACCTAAATCGACATCCAATGCCATCCATAGAAATTAGAGCAAGGGGCCACAGGATCCGTGGCCGACGGTGCCACGTAGGCTGGAAGAGCCTCAGCCACTGCTCCCCCGGAGACAGCTTCCCTGTACGACACGAACATAGCATGAGCAAGGGGCATTGATTGCTTCCCCGGTAAGGAAGGGTTGACCCTGTCGTGCGCAAAATCAAGCTCTACCCTACTCTCCTCAATTACCTATACTTCAAACCATTCTGCGCCATGAGGAGTGGTGGAGATTAGAATAGGGCAGAGAGGATGCTAACAGGAAAAAGAGGGTCTAGTTAGTCATTTGTAATTTCGTCGTATTTCCCCTGAGCACCAGTAATTAACACAAACCCAGCCCCAAGGGCAGCACACAAATTGAAAGAACAATCGAATCTATGGCTGCAAATCTTCATACGAAATCATGGCGAAGCACACATACTGGAGCACCCTAGCTATGAGAACATGACAGGTGCCTCCCTTTTGACAAATTAAGTCAACCGACCCGAAGGTAGGGCACTAATTAGGATAGCACATCGATCAAAGCACATCGCTAATTGAGACCCTTCCCCTTAGAAAGGGATGCGGCAAGACAACATTCAATCACTCTACTTCTCACACTCTCCTCACCACTCAGAAAACCACCGCTTACGTCTCCCCATCTCCCCCTCCATCCCATGGAAACGACCCCTCCTCGCCTTGCCCACTGTACCTCCCCCCACCAGCAGACCCGGCCAATTCCACCCACGTCTGTATATAAGGTGCAAGAAGAGATCCGGGATGTTCCGCGCAACTG